TTTTTACCTTGAAAAACTTTCCCTGGAAATATCCCCAAGTTTCACCAAAATGTGAAGTTTTTACTTGTTTCTCGCCTCGGTGCTGTTTACTTTGTGGTGCCACCTGTGCGCCACCCCACGTGTATGTTTGTTTGCGTCTGGCAAGATTCCTACTAAACTTGCGCACCTGAGCAGCCTGCTTATTTGCAACCAAAGCACAAGAAGAAAGTTACTCAGGTGTTTTTTGGGGAGAGCGGAGCACCTATCGATATAAAGCGACACGAGCTCATTCGACGACGTGCCAGTCGAGTTCAGGACACTTTGCTCAAGATGAAATACTTTGCCGCCGCCCTCTTGTTAGCCTGCGCCTGCCAGGTAAACCCGATCAGGAGACATAATGTAGAAAGTATGTCCGTCACTCGCCGATACGAACCTGCCCGTTGTTATAAATTCAGTTAAGAAAAGTCTAACGGGGCGAGCGCGCCCCGGGGCGTAGACTGGGGTCTGGCGGCGTGGCGTGGATCACTGAGGTCTCCCGCCCCCCGATCCACGCTACGCCACGCCGCCGCCGCCAGACTCGAATCCTAGCTCCCAGTCCTGGGGGTCTGGAGCGCCTGATAGGGTGGCAACATCTTGCCTGCAGTGCATGCGTGTGTTGCAGAGTGGCCTACCACGAGTCTCACAGGCGCTACAAGCTCCCGTAGTTTAAATCCAGCTCTGTGAAGCTGGCCTTTCACCGACCGATGTCAATAAGGGACGTACTTTCTACACGACCCATGTCTCCCCCGCGCGCACAAAATTGTTGCGAACTTTTACATTGCACTGATGAATATCATTTCATACGCAATTATAACTACATTTGGAAAAAACGTTGCAATAAAAGTCAACTTTGACTCAACGGCGCAGGTAGATAGAAATATGCGAGTGTATGTTAGAGAGTTGAGTGTGCGATGGACCTTAACCGTCCCCTTCTCCAGGCGAGCGTGCTGCCCAGGCAGCGCCGCTCTCTGGACGTGGCCCTGGACGCGGCCACCCTCGGCGTGACCGCGGCGCAGAGCGGAGCCCTGCTGGGGCTGCAGGCCGGACAGGCCCTCACCGACGTGGCATCCGACACCGCGCGCCTCGGCATCTCCGCCGGCAAGGGCGTCGCCGACGCCGGCCTCGGCCTGGCCCGTGGCGCCACCACCCTCACCACCGGGGGCGCGCGCGCCGGAGTGGGTGCCGCCCAGACCGTGGTCGGCCTCGGCCTGAACGCGACCCGCGCCGCCACCGGCCTTGGCGCCGACCTGGCCAACACCGGCATCAACGCCGCCCAGGAGGTCGCCGACTCGGTCGGCCTCGGTGGCATCGCCAACACCGTCAACGGCCTCGCCCGCTCCGGCGTCTCTGCCGCCCAGTCCGCCGCCGGCGCCGGCATCTCGCTCGGCCAGGGCGCCAGCAACCTCGGGGGCAACGCTGCCAGGGGCGTCATCAACGCCGGCGAGACCGCCGTCCGCGCCGGCATCGGCGCCGGCCAGAGCGCCGCCAACCTCGCCACCTCAGCCGCCCGCTCCGGCGTCAACGCCGCCCAGACCGCCGCCACCCTGGGCGTGGAGGCCGGCAAAGCCGCCACCAAGATGGCCGCCGGCGTCGTCCAGGACTTTATTGGACGCTTCCGCGGTTGAGCATTCACAAAATGTGTTACCTTCATTCAGCTGTGATGTCTCTAAAATAAACGCCATTTCGACAGCACGACTTGTTCCTTTGTTCCAAATTCTAAAAATCGGTTCAAATGGCACAGGAGCCCCGATGAGATGGCAGCCGGCGCTGTCCTGGATGTGGACATGGTTGGAAAATTGGTCTCTCAATCATCGACAGTAAAATTCCTCCTGCAGGATGCGTGTCTTTTCCTCCTCCGATCCCCACAAACACACCGGCGTCGGTTCTGTGACGCACAAGACGAGACCGGAGAGCCGGGCGGGGGGGGGGATGCTCTTGTCGAGGTGTTTTTCCCGTGCCGGGTTCTCCAGCTCCAGTACGGTGCCAGCTGAAGATGGTGCAGCTGCTGCTGATGCTGCTGTTCGCAGCTCTGGCGCCGCCGCTCTGCGCCGCGGCCGAAGAGTCCTCGGCCAGGTCGTTCTCCGGTGAGACCTCCGCGTGTGGCCCCGGGGACCAATGCGTGCCTCTGACGAGCTGCCCCAGTGCCCTGCGAAACTTGCGGCTCGACCCGCGGCAACGCCCCAGGCTCTGCGGCTTCCAGGACAGCACCACCAGGGTCCCGGACGTGTGCTGCCCAGGTGGCGGCGCGCCTCAGGAGGACGCCTGCCCGGAGCCGGCGCCGCCGCTGGCGCCCACTCCCGACATGACGTGCGAGCAGTTCCTCAAAAGCCGCCCGGTTGAGGACTCGCGCCCGGGGAGCCTGGCGAGGAGGAGTAAGTCTGACACCTCACTGGCAGTGGTTGCCTCCTCACCCCGGCTTCAAATCTAACGGCGCGCTCTGTTTCAAGTGTGCAGGAAGCACCAGGAGGACCTCTGCGCGCTTCCCGAGAAGACGGTATCCGTACAATGCCCTTCTGGCGCAGAGCCGGCGGACATCCTGGAATTCCCTCACATGGTGAGTTGCAGGGTGGGTGGTTCCGTACCCATGTGTGGTGTGGGGTCCGGCAGGCAGGGAGGAGCTCATGGTCATAAATGCCCAGGTCTCAAAAGACCTCTAAGCTGTCACCGCTGGTTTTGTAGAGCCGTTCAACCGCGTCTGTCTCGAAGCCACTTTCCCGTACTTTTGGCAGGCCCTGCTGGGCTACGGGGACCGAGAGAACATCCAGTACGCCTGTGGTGGCTCCCTCATCGCCCCCGACTTCATCCTCACGGCCGCTCACTGCGCCTTTCTCTCCGCGTGAGTCTGTATATCTGGCAAGCGCGGTTCATTCTTGAATTTTTGAAAGAAAAGACTAGATGTTTACGCGATTGTCGTTTCACAGGCAGCCAGTTCGCTGGGCGCTGCTCGGCGCGACAAACCGCACCAGCCAGGAGCCCAAGGCCGCCGACACCCACCAGTTGATAGAGGTCGCAGAGGTCATCGTGCACCCCGAGTACGTCGCGACGGTCAAGTACCACGACATCGCCCTCGTGCGCCTTGCGCAACCCGCCCGGGTGCAGAAGCTGGAGGTGTATCCGGCCTGCCTGGACACGGACATGGATGTGGACAACACGGGGAGGGACGCCGTCGCAACCGGATGGGGCGCCACTAGCTTCGGTAAGGAGCTGAGAGTCCGCCCTACTCGACTAAATGGATTTGCCCAGAGACGTCCCTTGATGCTTTGGTCTATCCATTGTCTATAGAGGACGATGGCAGTCAGTCGCTGCTGAAAGTGAACCTCACCGTGCGCGACATGCAGTACTGCAGGGACAACCTGGAGCTGGACATGCAGAAGGTCCCCCGCGGCCTGGAGGACGCCACCCAGCTGTGCGCGGGCGGCGGGGAGCACAACCGGGACACCTGCCAGGTGAGGAACCGGGACGGCAGCTGAACCCTTCCAGCAAATGGCATAACACTTATTACTATTGTTTTCTATTTGAATCGTCTAGGGCGACTCTGGCGGCCCGCTCCAGATGGAAGCGAACCCTAGCAACTCCTATACGTGCATTTATCGAATCGTCGGTGTCGTCTCGTTTGGGCCGCCCTGCGGGCTGGGGAAGCCGGGCGTCTACACCCGGTAGGTATGAGCGGGCCAGAAATGTGGCTGGCATCAACGTCTTACCACTTTTAGTATATGATAGCCACCACTAACTGCAGGTTTCGACTGATTATTATTCTTTAGCCGTTTTCAACTGATCGTTTTCCCTGCTGTTGTTCTGATCCGCAGCGTGGCGGCGTACGTACCTTGGATCGAGAGCGTCGTCTGGCCTCCGAGGCCGGACGGCTGCGTGAACAACGTGCGCGTCAAGTCGGGCGATAGAGAGGTGCAGGTGCCCAACACGGGCCCTGGGACCGTGGCCAGAGGCAGTGAGTGCCGAAGTTTCTTCTAATGTGGACGACCTCCTAGGCAGTGTGATTTTTCAACTTCTTCTCCTGCAGTGTGTAGAGTGTTCCACGTGGAGTTTTGCGGCAACTACAATTGGCGCCGTACCGTGAAGCCCGATTTGACGCCGGACAACGCTTGCCACCACAACCACCCGCGCGCACCGAGGGACTTCGCGCCCTGGAAACACAAAGTGGTAAGCGGCGTGGCTCTCGGAGAAAATAGTTTCGGTTGTGGAACGAACCGCTGTTTGGGCAGCCGCTTTAACTTACACATCTGATGTTGGTCCCTCCCCTGTCTATACACGTTTGGGTGGAATGTTGTTCGAGTTTCACGTTTCACACGATGAGTCCCACGCACCTAAAATATGCTTGAAAACGCCACCCCTTGAAATTGCAGTGGGACTACGTGTGAAACGATTGTTACTTGTGAAAAGTAATATTTTCTCTCCGAGCAAAGACCGGCGTGTGGTATCACTAGCTAGTTCCCTACACACACAAAAACAAACCAACAAACAAAGGTGTCGAGTCAGACCATTAAAAGGTGCTAAAAGGGTTCAGTGCCCTTACAAAGTCATAAAACTGATAACAGCAGTTTTGGCACATTTACTGCTTTCACACATCTGCAAAGGTGTCGCCCAACACATCTGTTTTTACAGTGGACATGCATATCTGACGGATTGCGTGTTCTCCTGCTCACAGGTGACGTTTCAGTACGGTGACTCGCCGTACAACCGGCGGCACAGCTGCGCGGGCGCGCTGGTCTCCCCCAACACCATCCTCACCGCCGCCCGCTGCGCCGCGCTGGGCTGGTACGACCGGTGTTGCACGTTCACATAATTCACATTTTAGACCGATGCATCACCATCCTTGTCCGTGTCCACAGCCTACCCCTGCAGCGCGCGTACCTGGGGGCGCCGGAGCTGTGCGACAACAGTGGTCTCGCGACCGTGGAGAAGGTCATCGTGCACCCCGAGTACCGACCGGGCCTCGCCTACGCTGACCTGGCCGTCGTGAGGTTGAACGAGTCCTACGACCTGCGGGACTACTTGCCACTGTGCCTCAACACGGAGGCAGACTTCCCGATCCGAGTCGGGGTGCGCGCCACCGCGGCCGGCTGGAACACCGTCGGCACCTGTAAGTCGACCTCGCAGCTCGAAATGCCCATTCTTGTAATCTCGTCCGCCTCACATATTTTGTTGAACGCGACCTGCAGGGGAGGAGATGAGCTTGGACAAGCCCAACAACACCCTGGCCGTGCGCTCCTCTGGGCGCTGCTCGGCCTCCCTGCTGAAGCACGACAGGCTGCGCGCCGCCATGCCGGAGGGTTACGTACCTTCCCTGCTGTGCGCGGGCGGTCTCTGCGACAACGAGACCTACGCGGTTAGTTGGGCTCATCCAGAAAGTATGTCCGTCT